ACAAACTCTATATGGTACAGATCAAACCATGTTTCAAGTCCAGGGTGTAATTTGTCTCCCAAGTAAGTAATGAACATTGGACTTATTCAAAACAATCATCTCAGAAGAAATAGTGACACAACTAATGAAAAAAAAAGAAAAAATCAAAATAACTAACTCTATAAATAGTTAAAATTAACAAATTAGAAGGTTTGGAAATAAAAATTAAAGACAAGGGGCTAGATCAAATTGTATTCTGACATAAGTAAAAATAATTTTCTGGCAGAGGAGCTTTGAACATTTCTAATATATTTAATCATTATAGAGAACTCATTTCTAAGTGCATTCCGGGGAGGAAATTTGTGTATATAATATTTAGTAATAATAATGATATTATTGATCAGAAATTAAATTTCTTTATTATGTAGGACCACACCTAAATGGACAGAGATGTGAAAGAAAAGAAATCTATCTTTATCAGTTTGGAAGTTAGCCAGCCATGTAAGGATTTCCATAAACTTTGGATTTGGTCACAAACATAAAAAATCTGCTCTCTATTTGTGTTGCATAGGTGACAGTTATCTACATGAAATTTAAATCTGGTTTTAATAAAATCATTTGAAGGAAAATTTTCATTTAGAATTTGAGCATTTTTTTTAGCTATTTTAATAAATTGCATTTCTTTGTGTTTAGGAAGAAGTGGAAATTTAAGATAATTTGTTCTAATAGCTAATATTTCATTTTTTTAAATAATTTTTCAAGGTTTGAAGTTCTCCTTGTAAAGCCAGGGTACATTGTTTTCAACAAATGTTGCCTCAGGAATGTTTTTGGTTTAAAAAGTCAATTTGGTCGTTGTGTTTTCTAGATTATTTTTAATTAACTGAATAAGAGCCATTGGAATGTTTTGTGTTAGAATAGTTATCCAAGGAGCAATCCAAATTAGATCTTGTCCAATTTAACTATATTACTATTTTCATCTAACAGATGCACAATTGACTATATTTGTTTCTCCATCTAGTTGCGCATAAATATAGATTTTCTTTTGCTCAAAATGACTCTTGTTCCATAGCGGAACATTATGTGGACTAAAATTATGTTTATAAATAATTTTCCAGTATGACAGGACTTGTTTGTGAAAGGCAGCGATTTTGACACATAGTTTAGATAGTCACATTTGAACAAAAAGACCACCTAATTTCTCCTCATCATTCTTTAGAAACGATTGTAGCCATTTCATTTTTAATACACCATTCACGATATCAAAATCTATTGCTTTAATCCCAGTTTTCTTTTTTATCAGATTTCCTTTTTTATATAATGATGTTTATTTTTCCAAATGAACTGAAATTTATAACATAGCAGTTTTATAGTTTTTATAATAATCACTGTATCCATAAACATGAACTAGAATAATAACACTATCAATCTCAAGAACACATGCTATCCAATGTCCATCATTATCTGCCTTATCACTTATGATCTTACCGGGGCAGCTGTTGCAGCATATGGCTATGCCTGACGATAGATTCGTGCATGACCAGAAAGGGTTTTGTCACCCCATTGTTGAGTCCAAAACTTAAAGTGATGTATCAGTGTGTTTCTTGAAGAAATATGCAGTTAGCTTTCTGCCCTTTACAAAACAGGACAATGTCGACCGCATCTTCTATCTTTGCCGCCAGGTCAGATGCAATTCTGCACAGAAGCTCCACCACCTCTGTTCTAAGTCATTGACTTTTCTCCCTTTTAAGCGAAGACACAATCTTCTTTTGTATCTCTCATGGTTTAATATGCGACCCTTCATATCCTCATTTTATTTGTGTCCATGTGTTTTTCTAAGGTGCGGACTTTCACCTTACATTCTTTCAGCTCCTCTGAGTTGAATTGCACCGTTTTAGCTATGGCTGCTTGCATGTTACTGTGCTGATGAATTTGACTGCTAATTTCTTCCATGCAGCAGTCCTTCGATAGCATTTAATATGGTTTCGTCGTCAGACGTACCACTTGTTCTCTTATCCTGTATCCAGAGTCCAGAGTATTTTTTGGGTGTGTCCCGTTTGTTGGAGCTGTTCATACTTAGGGCTGAGTTCAGGAAACAGAAACGTGGAGGTAATTTTAACTTCAATTACTGTTACATCGGGACTCAGTTTGCGGAACTCTGAGGAATATGTCTGCTTATCACGCCCTCCCGAAAGTTGCCCTTAAAGGAGCTTAGAGGCAACAGCAAGACAACCCCAAAAAGGGAATGGTTTTGCAGGTAGTGGCCACAGACAATTGTTCTCTACTTATCCTTGCTGACTGATTGCTGTAGTTTCTGGTAGCATGTGGCGGTACCTGCAGCCCAGTCCAACTCTTCCAGGATGGCACGCACATACGTGTTGTCACAAGGTTTGCTGTGTCTCCCTGCACACTATGATTCAATTTCTGGATTCCGCTCACAACACAGCACTGAAACAGCCCTCCTCAAAATAATCAATGACCTCCTCCTCTCCGCCGATTCCGGTCACCTCACCATCCTCATCATGCTCGACCTCACTGCAGCCTTCGACACCATCAACCACTCCACTCTTCTCTCCCGACTGGAAACTTAATATTACTGGCACCGCACTCTCCGGGCTCCGCTCTTACTTCACCAACAGACAACAGTTCATCAACATCAATAACTGCACCTCCTCCACTGCTCCTTTGTCACAAGGCATCCCCCGAGGTTCAGTGCTTGGTCCTCTCCTGTTCATCATTTATATGCCACTTGGTAATATCATATGGAGATATGGTCTCCACTTCCACTGCTACGATGACGTCCAGATTTACATCTCTGCCAAATCCATCACCACAGTAACCTCTGCAACTCTGACCAACTGCCTCACCGACATACAAACCTGGATGCAAACCATCTTCTATTACAGTAAATCTGACATGATCATCATCGGCCCCAAACCACTAACAACAAACAACTTCAGCATTTCCATCAACAACTCCACCCCGTATCCATCCCCACACATCCGCAACCTTGAAGTCATCTTTTACAGCAACCTCACTTTTGATCACCAGATCAATCGTGTCACCTCTGCTGTCGAAACCCTGATCCACGCCTTCATTACATCCAGAATTGACTACTGCAATAGCATCCTCTATGGTTCACCTGCCAAAGCCCTAAATAAACTTCAATATATCCAAAACTCTGCTGGCCTCACCCACACACGCACCCGTGACCACATCACCCCTGTCCTCCAGAATCTTCACTGGCTCCCTGTTCCCCAACGCATTCAGTACAAAATCCTCCTCCTCACACATAAAGCCTTCCATAACAAGGCCCTTTCCTACCTCACAGACATGCTTCACCACCACAATCCCTCCCATAACCTCCGCTCCTCTGACAATAACCTCCTCTCACCACAAATCAGGACCAAGCACCGTACCTGGGGTGATATAGATTTTACCATCGCAGCCCTATGGAACTCCTTACCCATACACATCTGAGATTGCAGTGACATGGACTCTTTCAAATAAGTTATCAAAACCCACCTTTTTAGACTAGCTTTTAACCTCAAATAATGTTATATTACACCTGCTGCTGTTTGTTTATTTTGTTATTTATATGGTCGCCCCTTTGCTCTTATGTATTTCCACACAACATGTTTTTATCTACTGTTCATATAATTTACATTTTGCAATTTATGTTTTTTATCTGTTTTAAATGTACATAACTTCAGGTTTTACTGTAAACTGTCTGTGAGTTTCCTGAAAAGCGCTATAGAAATAAAATGTATAATTATTATTATTATTATGATGTGGGAGCATGAAGGAGATAAAGAAGCTGGAGCATGCCTCAGAGTGCCCCACAGAGAAATGACCTTCCTCCTCCCTTCCAGCTCAACTTCTCTTGCGATCTGAACCACTAGGTGAAACAAAATACTTTTCCTGTAATATTGGGTTGATGCTAGATACTATCACTAAAGAAAATTTTGCTTTAGATCAGAAAGGCTCTCCCTTCAGTACTCATGATATGGAATCGAAAATATTTTACTCATACGTCCCAAAAACTCAGTATATCATCAATGCTAAAGTTATTCACTTATGCGGTAACACAGGTCCTCAATCATGCGTCAATTATCCATTGCTGTATTCGTAACATTCATGGCAGCATTTATTCATTAGTGTGTCTGGTAGATATTAGTTTGTGTGTAATACAGTTGCAGGAAAAAGTATTTGAACTCTTTGGAATTTCCTAGATTTCTGCATAAATTGGTAAGAAAATGTGATCTGATCTTCATCTAAGTCACAACAATGAACACACACGGTCTGCTTAAACTAATACCAGACAAACATTTATATATTTTTATGTTTTTATTGAATACACTGTGTAAACATTCACAGTGCAGGGTGGAAAAAAGTATGAACCCTTGGATTTAATAACTGGTTGACTGGTTGAGTGGTTGTTTGTCTATGTGTGGCCCTGCGATGGACTGGCGACCTGTATAGGAAGTACCCCGCCTTTTGCCCAATGTCAGCTGGGATTGGCTCCAGCCCCCCGCGACCCTGTACGCAGGATAAGTGGTTGACGATGGATGGATGGATAGCAACCCTTCCAGGCCCTGAGGCAGCAAAACAGCCTCAAACCTTGATTCCTCCTCCACCATACTTCACTGTCGGGATGAGGTTTTGATGTTGTGCTGTGCCTTTTTTACTCCACATGTAGGGTTGTGTGTTCCTTCCAAACAACTCAACTTTGGTTTCATCTGTTCACTGAATTTTTAGCCAGTAGTGCTGTGGAACATCCAGGTGCTCTTTTGCAAACTTCAGACATGCAGCAGTGTTTTTTGGACAGCTGTGGCTCTGTGGTGTCCTCCCATGAACTCCATATTTGTTTAGTGTTTTACTTATAATAGAGTCACCAACAGAGATGTTAGTGTAATCCTGTTAGCATAGAGGGCTATTACGGTGTACATATTTAGTGTTATGCAGAAGAGAGATTTTTGTTCTTAATGGTTAAAAAGGGTCTAATGCGAAGTTGATTAGATTAACAAGTATGTAGATGTCGTTTTGAGAACTGAGTGAAAGGAAGGAGGGTTAGCACCGCCGCCTGGTGTGTGCTGTGAGAATTAGAGAGAGAGCGAGTAGAGAGCGAAGGGGAAAAAAACGTCCAAGCCAGGAAGAGTGTATGGCCATTCCGTGGGATTTTTTCTGGAAAAACTAATGCTAATGAGCAGTTAGATAAATTTTGCTCTGTTGAGATAAACCTTTGGATTTGCTGGAACTATTCTTGGTGAGTTGAACTGTTTCTGAATGAGAAATTGTTAAGCTAAACTCACAACAGTGATATGCTAACGGCTAACACTGTTAACTGAGCACGTGGAATTATGAAATTGTAAACACTGGATTCCAAGATGTATTAGCTTGTTAAACGATTGCATGTAAACAATATCGGTTATATGCACATTGTAGTGTGTGCGTTTGTGCACCAAGCGTAGCTGCATGCACTATAAAATGATTGTAACTGCTTAAAAGGGGGGGTTTATTTTCTGTAGCTGCTCTGTGGTGCCACACAGTCGCTGTTTTGAGGCTTCGGGAGAGCTCAAGTTCTTGTTCCCTTTGCTAAGAAGCAATCTTTACCAATGTTTTGTTTTGTTTTGGGAGTGTTTGTGTACACATTTAAGAGTAACACATGAAAATATGCTAGTATGACCAAGAGAGATGAGGAAGTTGTAGTTTTTTTATCACTCTGACTACTTTGTACAGGTCAGGTTTTTTTGTGATGTATGATTCGACACCATGCCGGCCCAAAGATGGCAAGCCACCGCACCAGGATTCACTGTGATGACAACTGAGATCGAAAAGGAAATTTGGAAGTTCTTTGGGCCCATTTTCTTTTGATGTAAATTCACAGAAGTTTTGTGTGTTACATATTATTGGGTGTAAGTGTGTAATAACTGTGGGAAGAGTGAGAGGGTGTGTTAAATTCACTATAGATTCAATACATGTTATGCAACTAAACCCTCTGAGTTGGTCTCATTAATTCTCCATCCTGCTCTGGTAGTCGAACCTTACAATTTGGCCCTGCATCAAACGTCTCAAATCTGCTTCAGTTCATTGAATGGGATGTTACATTAGCATGTTGCAGAGATTTCTGTAAGTCTTCAGCTGACACGCTAGGATTCTTCTTAACCTCATTGAGCATTGTGCTCTGTGCTCGTGCAGTCATCTTTCCAGGGCGGCCACTCCTAGGGAGAGTAGCAACAGTGCTGAACTTATTCCAGTTATAGACAATTTGTCTTACCGTGGACTGGTGAACATCAAGGCTTTTAGAGATACTTTTGTAACCCTTTCAAGTCAACAATTCTTAATCTTGAATCTTCTGAGAGCTCTTTTGTTTGAGGCATCGTTCTCATCAGGCAATGCTTCATGAGAATAGCAAAATTAAAATGGGTGTGTGTTTTTTGGCAGTTCTAACCAACACCTCCAATCTTGTTTCATTGATCGGACTCCAATTAGCTTTTGGAGAAGTCATTAGCCTAGGTGTTCATATACTTTTCGTTGCGTTTCTTCAACTTCCCAACAACACCCCTCGGAATCCAACAGAAGCAAATAAAATTCTTGAAAATACCCGGTTTCACAGGAGTAGTAGGGGCACTTATTGGCATTCATATAAAGATCAACTTTATTATCTTTTATTTCCGATGTGTATATCATAATGTATTCGCTTGAAAATTCTTTATTGTCAAATGTGTCTTGAATGTAAACTCCTCTTAGGAATTTTACCATTCAATGTGAAGTTATCTGAGAATATTCTTAAATAAGGAAATCATTGGTCCTTGCCTATGTCGTCATCCAAAATCCTGTGAGCAGCACAGCAGTGTCGTGAATCAGCTCTAAGGCTGACACTTAAGATTTATTCCTACACTTCACTTAAATTAGGACTGAGATGCTTGATAACTAACTTTGAAGCGCAGCTTTGAGCCATGATTTTTTTTTTTTACTCGAGTCAATTCTTAGCCGTGTTCTCATGAGTAATTCTGAGATGCTTGATAAATACGGGACCAGATCACATTTTATGACCAAGATATGCAGAAATACAGGTAATTCCCAAGGGTTGACATACTTTTCTTGCGACTGTATATGTTTCACGTACAAAGAAGTTGCCCATAGTTATCTGTAAATTACTTTTAGTACCTTTGCTTATCAGTTTCCCTTTTTCCTCTAGCTACCTGGTTTCAAGTTAATTCCCTCACAAAGCTAATTTATGCATAATCTCTTCTCTGATCAAGAGACATGGTGTAGTGAAAAGCTGAGTTAAATTTTGAATTTTGTATTAATGGTGGAGAATGTTAATTAAATTGCTGCTGCTTCAATATGTACTCACTACATATCACTCACATATTGCAATAGGCAATCATACTTAGGCTATTCACTACAGAGCAGAGTTATGATCTGTAGATAGTCAGATCTATGTTGCCTCTTAAAAAGAATGAAACTGTCGGACCGTTACTTAAGTCAGGGCTTAAAGTTCTTGGCACAGTGCCAGAATTCTGGCACGGGGCGTTTTCATATTTGACAATATATAATTATGTCCGTGGAAAATATTCTTGCATATTTTTTAACAGTGTGATATGTGTGTGAAGTGCCAGTCCTCAGCACAATCTCTGTCAGTGGATGCACAAAAGAAAGGGCACTTCCTGACTACGTGGACACTCATTGGCCATTGTAGGCTGTGGACAGGGCATCAAAATTTCTACTGGGTCAGGTTAAGGTCACTCAAAAGGTCAAGGTGTTCTGTTTTTTTTTGTTTACATGCTAACTGTAGTTAAACAACAAAATAAATACACGCTCACCTGTTCCCGTTCTCGCCGGCCTCCTAATCTCTCACTAGGAATAGAGGCGAAAGAAGCTCTGGTGCCTTTCATGCACTCGTGTGCATAAAGTTGCTCATCAACATAGCTTTTCGTGAACCGACTAATCACAGCCTGGACGCGACAGGACACTAAAAAAAGTTTGATGTGCTACAGCAAACTTTAGAAATGTTGAACTTGTTGTTCTGCATGAATGATTATTGACGAGTAGTTCTTAGCATTAACTAATTAGAAACTGACTACCATGTAGATAATTTTTCTTACACAAATTTGATGAATGGAAACTAAGACTAACTAATATCATACTAGCGGTAAGATATATAGTAAGCTATCTGAAATTATAATTTCTCATTTATTTATTTAAGGACAGTGCACATTAATCAACATTTCTGTAAATGTGCCAGTGTTAGCCAGCAGGCTAATTTTCAACTGTAGTTCATAATGATGAATACACTAACATTGGCCCTAATACCGACCGATAAACAAGGTAAACATGTAAATGGGGAGTAATGCTGGGAAATAAAACAATAATAATTATCTCAATATAATTTTCCTCAATAACAATATAACAAATGTTCAATAAATGTTTAATTTATTTGAATCATAGAAAAATCAGCACTTATTTTTCTGTTTAGATATTTATTTTTTTGAGGAAAAGGGACTGAAAACAGATTTTACCTAATGTTACTTGATGCATGTTTGTCAAAAAAAAGATTTTGTCATAATTATTTTGAAAGTTCTGCGCTTAGATTTGTGAAGTGTCCACTGTTGGCATTAAGTGGCACAATTAACTGTCTGATTTCTCCAACTTTTACTCAGGAGCAAAAATCAGCCATTAAACTTGAAAGAAACAATGATTTGACATTTATTGTGATAATTGATATCCAATGATATGAAATTTTTTGTCGTGATAACATTTCTGGCCATGTCGCCCAGCCCTTTTCCCACTTCAAGCATTGATTATAGGTGGTGGCAGAACATTTTACCAGAATGCAGGAAATGAAGAGTTTAATGCTCATTTTTTTCAGGGGGAGGACCTCCAGATTGAATATTTCTCCATAACAGATTATTTACAATTACAATTATGCATACATACAATTATTTTCTTGTGAACCCAGTATCGTAATTCCTCATGTCTCGTGAGCTAAGTCGTCAAACCCCAAATCTGAGCCACTATGTCCCTTTCAGTTTTCAACACAGAGTTACGCTCTTGCCACTTACCTTTCACTTTTGTTGTAACCCCTGAACCCATTTCAGGCACAGAAAACTTTCTTGCTTTAAGCCCTGTTAAGTGTTTTGATGACATAAAGGCCTGGATGGCTCTTAACTTTTTAAGTCTTAATGAAAGTAAGATAGAAGTGATGTTTTTTGGTGGCACCACTGGGACCCCCTGTGTCGATCTGGGTTCCTCGAGTCAGTATATCAAGCCAACAATCACTAACCTATGGGTTAAAATTGACTCTGACTTCAAGCTCGACAGACAGATTTTACAACAGACAGTTGAGGCAACTGGCCAAAATAAAGCCAGTTCTTTCTAGGCAGCACTTTTAAGCAGTAATCCACGCCTTTGTTACCACTCAGTTGGATTACTGTATTGCACTGTACGTGGGGGTCAGTGGGTCCTCTATTGCTCGTCTCCAGATGCCACAAAATGCTGCAGCACGTCTTATAACTGGAGCACGTAAACATGAGCACATTTCCCCCATTTTAGCCTGTACATAATAGGATCCATTTTAAGATTATTTGATTTGATTTTAAATGTCTTAATGGTCTTGCCTCACCCTACATCTCTGAGCTACTACACCCCTGTAGACCCACCCGTTCTCTCAGGTCAAATGCTTCTAAGTGTGCCCATAACAAAGCGCAAGCTCAAAGGGGACTGTGCTTTTGCTGTAACAGCTCTTAAATTGAGGAACATTCTACAAATTAGACAGGCATCTCCACTGTCTGTTTTTAAGTCTCTTCTTGAACCACACCACTTTTCCTTGGCCTTTGATAACTGAAATTGACATTTCTTGTTTTGATTGTATTGATTGTATTGATTTTATTGTTTTATTGTATGGTTGTTATTTGTTTTTTATGCGTCGTGTGAGCTTTGTGTTTAGTGTCTTTTATATATTCATTTATTGTTTTTCTGTACAGCACTTTGTGTCCACTTTGGGTTTTTAAAGTGCTCTATAAATACATTTTGATTGATTGATTGATTGAGCTTTATCATTGAAAACAGCTGTCTGCTGTTGCTGGAAATGGGATTGCTAAGAATGGAATTGGGGCTGGAGAACCAAAACAATTATCCAAAATAGGCATGCTTTGTAGCATTTACTGTCTTTAGCTCATTACCACGCCACAAAGTAAGCAACTAGCTGTTGATTTTAATTAAGCATTCATCAGCTAAAAATCTGGATATTTTCCTGGCACTGAAGAAAAAAAGAAAGGTAAAATGAGAGTGAATATTGAACTTTTACCAGATGGCCAGAAACATTGCTCTGTATCTAGATTTGTAAACATGTTACTATTTTGCTGATATCTTCAGTATGACAACTTCATGGGATGATACGTCAATGTTGTGTTTTACAACAAAAACAATTAATGCAGCTTTAAGACCTATTACTAATATTTTGGTGTACCTTCTGGTAGAAATTACCCTGGCTGAACCCATATGTTCCACAATCTTTCATACACAAATTGATGAAAAGATATATTTTGTTGTTGTTGTTGTTGGTAATTAACTTTGAATTTCACATCTGACTAAATCACAGTAATGGTAATTACATTGAAGCTGAGATGAAATTTCTCCTGTTGCATCAACTTCTCCACATTATGACAGGAAATGTTTATATGGAATTTTATATGTTCTATATTTATTTCCTAATATCACATGCAAAGGTTACCTTGCTGGTGGGAGCAGCTGTAGAGTGAAGATGATGACTTACTCCCACCTAGAAAAAAAGGAAAGACTTCTCTCTTTCACTGTCTCTCAATTTCTCTCTCCTTCTCCCTCTTTGTCAGCTCCCTGCTGTCAGAGATCTTTCTTAAAAGTATATGTCAGAAATGGAGGGAGAAGATGAAGAGGTGGTAATGGTGGCAGGTGTTATGTTTGAAGATGTGTGTGTGCGTGTGTGTGTGTGTGTGTGCATGTGCCTGTCA